GGGAAGCAACTTGCTCCTGGTCACACAGCACCTTAGTAGCTGAGATGAGGTGAAAGGCCCAGGCAAAGTGAGGGTGAGATGAAACAATGACTGGCCCCAGGCAGGCTGGCCCTGCGCCACCCCATTCACTCCAGGATGACCCAAGGCTGACCCCCGGATGGTGACAGCCTCTGCCAGCACCTCCACCGGGTCTCCTCTGCCCAGGTTGTTTGTGTCCTCAGGCTCAACACGTCTGCCACCCCGTGGGGCCACAGACTCCCTCTCTCACCTTCTCCCTTTCTCGTTTCCTCTGCCTGGTGCCCAGGGCTGGGCCCTGCTGAGGAGGCTCCGCCCTCCTGCCACGTCATCCATGTCGTGGTCCCTGACTCTGGGTCCCGGCCTCCCTTTGCTGCTCTGAGCCCCGGGGGAGAAAACTCCTCTCACTACTTTGTCTGGCCAGAGGCCAGCATTCCCGACTGGTAGGGACCTGGGCTGGGCGCCCAGAGCCCGCAGGCAGCACTGGGAGACTGCAGTCGGGTTTGTTTGGAGCCAAGATGGCCATACCTGGGCCAAATTCAGTTTGACAGTCAATATCTCCAGCAGCGAAGCCCGGGGTGGGCCGAGTGACTCACGCCTGCTCAAAGCAAGCAAGGCCAGGTCTTTGTGCCACCCCATGTGCTCATAGAATAGCTGTGGCATTGAACAGGAATATGTATGAGTACGGTGTGTGGGCTTTTGAGAGACTCTGTGTCTTTCCCCAAAGCAGAGGAGAATATTCAACAACAGATTGTTCACTTCCTCAGAAGGACGCTCTTTCAGAGGGACTCCCTTGCTGCTGGCCAAGCCACCATCCACGCGTGAGGCCAGGAGAAGCAGAAGCCAAGGGGCTAGGCAAGCAGCCTCTTCCCCAGCCGTGAGCACAAATTGCTTAGGCACCATTAAAGGGTCCCCTTCCACCTGGATGTTGTCAGAGAGACAGAGCTGCAGAAGCGACAGGTAATACAATGGAAGAAATAGGGACGTAGAAGACTCGAGGAGCCTCACTCCTTCACGTACTTGAAGAGCAACCCCACCCCTAGTCTATGAGACAACCTTGTGGGAATGAAGACGTGTCTTTACCTCAAGATGTCCAGCTGCCAGAAAGTTGTAAAAGATATCTGCAATGAGGTTATGACACCCTGGAATTGTACAGTGCACAGCTTGAACAACTGTAAGCAGTGGCCCTACAGAACAGAAACCACAGAAAAGGGGGCGGATTCAGTCTATGTGTCCATAAGGTTTATAGCTTTAATTCAATAGATTGGGAGCCACAGGGTTAGATTTGATCTGCAAAGAGGAAGCACTTTCTGAACACCAGTGTTGTCTGAAAATCTGAATAGGTTGTTGGGAATCTCGGGAAGTAATGAGTTCCCCATCACTGGAGGTATTTAAGCACAAGCTGAAAAAGCACTAATCGGGAGTGGAGAGTATTGGATTTAACATCCCAAGAAACTGGGCTCTACGAGAGCTTCTGACAGTTTGGGGAGAAAATGAAGGGACCTCGAAGCCGGCCGCCCCTGGGCTGCGGGCTCCATCTCCATGTATTCTGTCAGCCTCTGGCTGTGGAGTGGCATGAGACGTAGTGGTTGGGCCTTTCTGCAAAGAGTAGATTAGATTTAAAAACATCCCTGTTAGGTGTCTGATTTAATTTCACACCGGGGTTGTGCTTTGATGGAATTTGTCAGATCCCTGCTGGCTCCAGACACCAGCGTGGTGAAGGAAACGCCACGCTCCTGCCTACAGGCAAGCTGCGTCTTTGGCGGGTCTTGCTGGAGACGGTGCGCGGCAAGGACTTCTGGGGCAGAAGGCACCTGGCCACAGTGCCCAGTGGGTGGCGGAGGAGGTAGCCCTCAAACTTCGGAGACTCTGCCCATCTCGCCGAAGCAGGTGACGCAGTAGCCAGCAGGCGTGTGGAAATGCCTCTTCAAAGGTGGCGTGGCCCTGCTTGGCAACACAGGCTGAGCCCATCCATCAGCTGTCCCGCCGCCTGCCAGCGAGGGTCTCTGCTGGGCTCGCCCCGTCAGCCAGATTGGACGCGTCAAATGCAGCTTGACAGGTTTGGGGTTTGGGGGAGGCCCTCGGAGGAGCCGTCTGTGCCACAGTGATGGATGACGCCAACAGGGACGACATTCTGGGGATTTTTATTCCGTTCCACACATCTGGCAAGCTCCTTAACCGGAGCAGCTGCAAAGCCCCCGTCGCAGGAACTCCGAGCTCTTCTGAGAGACCCTGAACATGGACCATGTTAATGCCGGTCAAGGGACCTGGAGCATGTGCTTAGAAGATTTCCCGATGCGTGTCACTTCCTGAAAGCTAAAACCCATGGAGTTTCGTGACACCCAAACCCACGAGAGGTTCCAGGACTGTAAAAAGGCAAACAAGACTTGGAGTTAGGTAGACCTGGGTTGTGATGCCATCCCCTTTGGCCTGAGTTTTCCCTCAGCTGTAGAATAAGAATAATAGTACCTATGCCACAGGGTTGTTTTAAGGTTAAATAAGATTGTGTGCAACCACACTGATTTAATTTAGTGTCTGATATATAGAAAATACTCAGTATATTGTAACCTATTGTTCAGATGATTTGTGTTAACTCAAGATACTTTTACCATTCTTCCTGATAATTTCTAGAAACAGACTCTGATAAATTGAAAATCCACAAGGCTTTCTTTTTATATCTAATGTAAAAATGCTTCTCACGGCTGCCCCTTCCTTCCTGAAAGCTCTCCCTGTTTCTATAGCCTATAGAACATCTCAAATAATCTGTATTTAAACCCAGAACCCAATATTATCTCAGACTCTGATCCCTCTTTACACAGGAAAGCATTTGGGAAAGTTTCTAGATTTCTACAGGGCTCATCAGGCATTTTCTTTACTAAATACCTTTGACCCAAATCTCACATAGTTTCCCCTAAATTCCCCATTTGCTCTGCTTTAGGCAGACATTTTTTTTTTTTTTTTTTGCCAGCAGAGTTATGTGCAAGGCAGAAAATTTGACCATAAAAGGAAAAATCAACTGTCAAACACATACATTAACTACATGTAGGGCTCTGTGTTGGGCACTGTGGGGTAGAGAGAAGAAAGAATAGAAGTGGACCTTGCTCTTAAGAAACCAACTATCTAGTTAGAGGAAACAAATCAGATAGGCCAAGTACCCAAGAGAAAGGTACCATCTGAGATCCAGCCATCAAACCTAAAACTCTGCAGCCAACTGAGCCACTAAGAAATGCTCTCGTATCTAAAATTCTTATCCCAGTAGCAACCTAGTATCAATCAAGCCCTGCCTGTCAGTTTGTTATTACTGCATAATACACTAACCCAAACTTAGTGGCTTAAACCACTGACCACATATCGAGATTGTAATTCTTAGGGTTGGCAATTTAGGCTGGGTTCAGCTGGGCAGTTCTTCTGGCCTGCATCAGGCTCAGCTGACCTTGACTGGGCTTGCTCACGTGTCTGCAGTCAGCTGGTGGATTGGCTGGGATCTCATATGTCTGAGGCCTTAGCTGGGACCACTAGGCCTGCTGCTTTCCACATATTCTCTTATACTTCTTGAGGCCCAGGCTTTGAGCTGGCACACTGTCCTTCCACCAAGTTCCAAGGCCAGTCCAGACCAAGGGGCAGAGAAACTGACTCTATTTCTTGGTGGGAGGAGCTGAAAAGTCACATTGCAAAGAGTGCGAGATACAGGGATGGGTGGAGAATAGGGGCTATTTTTGTCATCAGACTGGCTCATACCAAACCAGGGTTCCACTGTGGAACTTGAGGCCACCAGACCTAGACTTAGTTACATTTAGCTCTCTCGCCTCTTCACTACCCTTTGATCTCCTTCCTTGGCTGGCTTTCTTTCCTCACCCAACCTTGACTCGAGGCTCCTTTGAGGACAAGGACATATTCCTCTCTTATTTGTATAACTCTTCACTGTCCCCAATGCCATCCTCCACCTGGTATAATACTTGGTCCATTGTAGGTGCACAATGCAAGCTTCTTACATCAACAATAGGATTAAGTGCCAACAAATGGAAAAGACAAAGTAAGCTTTAGGTTTGGAGGCAGAGAAACCCTCCAGGTGATGCTCCTATAAAGCACCTTCAGAACACATTGCAGCCCACCCCAAATGTAAAGGATTTGGGTGCTTTCCATTGCACAGCCCCCAACTGGATGGCTTCTTCTAGCCTGGTGATCTGGAACCACCGAGCTCCACTGGTTCTACCCACCTCAACCAAGGACCCTGGGCTCCAGAGAATAGGAGCACTTATTGCCTTGCTTAGCAGGAACATGATTCAAAGCCAATGTATTTTATTTCCCCTTTAGCTGCGCGGAGAGATGAGCAGACCTTGTTAGTAGGATGGATTCGAGTCAAAATCCTCTAACAGACATTTCATCCATCCCCCATCATCTGGAAAATTCACACCATCCCATCTACATAAGAATCTTCCCCATTTCCAAATATCTGCAAAAGGAGTAATTCTTAATGACCTAGCCAAGATTACCCTGTCTGGCCCCCAACCTGTGGGAGAAACAGGAGAAACTATAGGAGCAAACTGAAGTGCACTTATCTATAAACACCTGTTGGAAAAACAAAAATAGCTTCTCCTAAGAAAAAGAAATAAATAATCGATGCAATCCTCTCGTTACCAAACCCCATTGTCTCTCCCAAATGTCAGTTTGAAATCTTTCATGTCAAACTCAGAAAAACATTTTTCCCCTCACTTCCTCACTCTCTCTCTCTGCTTTATCGTGCCAGATGGAAGGAAACTTTATTTGCTCCAGGAAGACAATAGCCTTATCTTCAACCTAGATCCTCATCCCTGCAAAGGTGGCCTCCCCCAGGAGCATCTTCAGAGTGGGGAAAAGCAGCTCCGGAGAAATAATGAGCAAGCAAAGGGAGTCTTGACTTGACACTGTGATAAATGAGGTGAAACTTTGGCAAGGAACCAGAGTTGGCGTATTCAAAAAAGAAATAAAAAGGTAGTTCCATTTTAATGGGAAATATAAAACAGCCATTGTGCGACAGTCGATTTTTCAAAAGCCAAAGAGATAAAGACTGTAACAGAATGACTGAGAGACAAGTAAGATAATGCGGTTGATAATCAGGCTTCGGTAAAGTGCCATCCTCCAAGCCACCGGCTGGCTCCGTAGGAGTGCCTTTTCAAGTCGGCTATCTGCATGAGCTCCTGCCTCATTACCATGTGCATCTCTGGACAGCTTCCTCCCAGCTTCAGCTTGCCCCCCTTGCCATACTCCCACCAGCTGGAGAGAGCAAAGTCAACCCAACTTTCTTCAAATCCCAAACTTCCACAAAACTGCCAGCCGCAGAGCTCCCAGCATCTCCCAGGGCCCCAGAGAGCAAAGCGCTCGAGTCCAGCCTCACCCACACCTGCTTTTCCCAGTGACTGGCCCAGCACGAGGTTCACAGCGGTGGGCAACTCCACACACTGTCGTCTCTTTCAGTGGGCGAGCTCCATGAACGTTCTTGAGGTTGTCCTTGGGCGATTCCTATTAGCAGGCTGGATATTCCATGGGGATGGCTGGGCACATTTTCCTGAGGGTAAGTGTGGATGCATCCAAGGCAATGTCGGGTGCCAGTCGAAGCAGTTGCGTATGGCAATGGAACTAGTGGAATTTAGCTGTTTTATGGAGACAAACCGCCTTAGTTCACATCCTGCCATTTATTAGCTATGTGACCTTGGCCAAGTTACTCAACCTCATTCAGCCTCAGGTTTCTCAACTTAAAATACAGTGACTAATACAACTTCTAGATTTTTATGAGGGTGAAATAAAACGGTGCATGTAAAGTGCTTAGCACAGGACCTGACATGCTAAAGCTTCAATAAACAGTATCTGTTAAAATGACTCTATAGATGCAGCTTGGGAGCAGTTTGATGCCAAGACCAAAAGGAAAGGGAAGAGTTCCTTTGATGTCATTAAGCTAAGATGACTAATGACGTCCCATCAAGAAATATTATTCACAGAACCACCCAACCAGGCACTCAAGTGTCACGTGATGTGACCCTGGACAGACACTATATGTAGGACCCTGGAGACCTGCTAACCCTCATCCTCTGCCTGCTGTTCAGAGATGAGAAAACCAGGGTGCCAAGAATACAAGTGGCTTTCCCAAGGTTGCAGTGAGCAGAAAGCCAGGACTCGACTTCTCCCCACTTCTAATCAGGTGCTCTTGACTCTGCCAAATGCCAACACTGTCTTGCTGGCTCACAACGTCCCCCAAATGAAAAGACACAAAGCCTAAACCCCTCCTATCCACCCCTATTGGTGTGAGGAGCTGGGTAGACACAGGATTCCTCCTTGAGGACTTTGAACTCTTTGGGAAAAAGGTGTTTGACTACTTGAAATGCTGACCTATTTGAGTCTAGTGACTGGGCTTTCTGTGTCCTGTCCCCACCCCTGCAGATTGGGCTGGTGGCGACCACGCTGTGCACAGCTACGAGTATTACGATGAGGAAGAGCCCATCAGTGCCGCACCTACCCACGCCGACAATCCTGACTGGTACTACGAAGAGGACGGTAGGTCCCCAGTCTGTCTCAGGGGCCCTCTGGGGAGGAGGGCAGCATGTCTGCAGGGGAGGCGTACGTGTGACCATTTGCAAGGGCCCCTTTCTCTTCTCCTCTCTGACCAGCATCACAAAATAAGTATCAAAGAAATTATTGAGACTGGCTTCTTTTTCAGTTAGAATCATAACTATAAGAACTGGGAGGTTCTTAGACACCCTCTCCCCTACCCTCAAGTGACAGATGAAGAAAGTGAGGCCAAGAGAGGAGCTGATTTGGCCAAGGTCACGCAGCTGGTTAGCGCAGCATCATCCGGGTTTCCTGACTCTGAAGAGCAGTCATGGCCAAAATCACTCCCATCGCTTAGGTCACAGGTCAGGTCTTAAGTATGCCAAGGAGTCTGCTTTAGTGTCGAGCATCAGATTGCAGCGTTCAGAAGTTTGGCTTTGGGACTTTCCTTCCCTCTGCCTTTGCTGTGTTTTTCTTTCACTTGTCACTCTTTAGATGCTTTCCACAGCTGTTAGGGGCTGTGTGCATGTGTGCGTGTGAATATATGTGTGTGTGTGTGTGTATTCACACACACGTGTTTCTACCATGCTTGTTTTTGTGGCTTCTTTACCCAAGAAATGGGACAGAAAGGAAAATAAGAAGCTGGGTCCAAGCAAGACCAGCTTGGACCATGTGACTAAACCAGGAGAAGGAACACGCAGCACTTAGCAGCTGCAATAAAAGCTGTGTAACTGTGCAAAGTGGCCTGGAAGGCAGGGCCAAGATACAGGGCACCGGGGAACATCAGAAAGAACCATCAAAACAAGAGCCAGGCCCAGGGATCCTAGTTCCTGAACCAAAGAGCAATGTGTGTGAACAGAAGGATAAAGAATTCCCCAAGGGAAGATCCATTCAGACAACCATGAAAAGCCAAAGGCACAGATGAAATATGACAAAATCTAACTGAACAAGTAGTTGAAGAAAGATGAAGGCCACTGGGTCATTTCCTCCTCGCCGCCGATTCTTCTGTCACCCTCTTGCCTTTGGTCTTCTCTCCTGATGTTCAGAAAGCTCGTGTTTCATTAGGGGTGGGTTTTCTTTCCCCAATCCTGACCTCCACCCCTGGGCACTGGAAGTAGGGGAGGTCTTCAGGCTTGTGAAATGCCTTCAGCATCAGAGACAGACCCCGTGGCACTCCCAGCAAGACTGGGAGGAGAGAAGCACACATGAGGGAAAAGGGGAGTTTCTCAATGAGAAAGGTCCCATCCGAAGCCAGGCCGAGGGGAGACAGCCACGATTCCTTCTCGCCTCTCCTCTCACTAACCTGAATCCCTCTCTCTGGTCGGGCTACTGCAGTTTTTCTTGCGGTTTAAGGACAATAGATGTTTTCCTCCTTTCCCCAGTCACTGGCTGTAGAGTTCCTCTTACATTTGGGGCAGGAGACTGAAGTTAGATGATCAAGTAGGGGTTTCTCACCTGCTGTCCCTTGCTAACACTGACTTTTGCCCGTGTGTCCTAGATGCCTGCCAGCCCAACCCCTGTAAACACGGCGGGGACTGCCTCACCGACGGGAGGACCTTCACGTGCAGCTGCCTGGACCCTTTCTCTGGGAGCAGGTGTCAGAACGGTGAGTGCATCTTCACTGTTGCACTCTTCCCTCTGAGCTAAACCAGAGGCAGGTCCTTCTCCAACTCTAGGGGTAAGGAAGAGCGGAGTGATGCCCACGGAAAACATTAAAACTGCACAAATTGTATCCTGCACAAGGAATTCCTCTGCAGGCTCCCAGGCAGCATCTCACCAAATCCTCACCTCTGCACTGAGAGAAAGAACTAGTATGTCCATTCTATAGATGAGAAGATTGAGGTCAAGAGAGGACAAGAGCTGGACTCTAACCAACATGCGTTCCAAACTCAGGACTCTGTGTTTAGCGTGTTTGACTAGCTACAACAGAAAAATAGTGTCCTCACATGGGAGAGCAGGAAGGATCTCAGGGCACCTTAGGCCCAACCCAGTTAGAGAAAAGGAGCCCAGAGATTGCAGGGGACCTGCGCATGGTCCCACAACTATTCTAGTTAGGTGGAGAGCAGAAATTAGAGCCCTGGTGCCTGACTCCCAGCCCGTGCTCTTTTATCCTGCCATCCTCATTGTGTCTGCCTTTAGTGAGCTCTTGTGGGCATAACATGAGGCTATGGGACAAAATATCAGGAGTGAAACTTGTATGGGATAAGTGTATACCTAGAGAGACTGGATTCTTTCCAATCTGGTGACTGTCTAACTAGGGGTAGGGGGCAGGGACGGTCTTATGTATATATAGGGCTTTGTGGTCGACTTCTTTCCGCTGTAACCTTCTCACTTACTCCTTCCATTTTCTCTCTTTCTTTCTTTCTTTCTTTCTTTATCTCTCTCTCTTCTTTCTTTCTTTCCTTCCTTCCTTCCTTCCTTCCTTCCTTCACAGAATCTCGCTCTGTTGCCTGAGCTACAGTGCCGTATCAACCTCAAACTCCTGGGCTCAAGTAATTCTCCTGCCTCAGCCTCCCCAGTAACTGGGACTACACCACTACAACTGGCTAATTTTTTTGTTTCTATTTTTAGTTGCCCAGCTAATTTTTTTTTCTATTTTTAGTAGAGAAGGGTGTCTCACTCTTTCTCAGGCTGGTCTCAAACTCCTGACCTCAAGCGATCCTCCCACATCAGCCTCCCAAAGTGCTAGGATCCTTTCATTTCCAATCCTTCAATCCCTTCAGTAAATGTTTCAGGATGGTGGGGGACATTGGGTATAAACATAATATCTGGGCTCATCCCTCAACTTCTCAGAAGAAAGACAAAACTGTGAATGGAATACGAAATCAGCCATAAAATGGAGAGAATAAAATTGAGACTGTTGGCTGAGGTGTAAAAATTATCAGTGCTTTTATTAAGATAGAAACATTAGGATTATGAGCACTGGAAGGAACATGGGAAGGGATCACCCATGACTCGAGAAGAAGAGAGAAGGAGAGAAGCCTTGTCCTGGGGTGGCGTGGCATTTCAGCACCACGGACAAGGCCACATGTGCTCTGACAGCCACCCCCACCCCCAAAAGTACTGCACAGGTATCCCTCTGCATAAAACGGGCCCCAAATAACGTCCTGTGCTTTGTCCCTGTGTCTCGATGGATCTCTTGCAGTGCAAAACAATTGCAAGAACAACCCGTGTGGCCGGGGCCATTGTCTCATTACCCAAAGTCCTCCGTACTACCGCTGTGCCTGCAAACACCCTTACATGGGTTCACGCTGTTCCATAGGTAAGTGGTGGAGGCCCCTTTTGTGCTAGGCTTTCTCTGCCCTCGGTCGTGCCTGGGGTCCCTGCATACTATTGTGTGGAAGTCCAGATGCATCTGGTGTTTTTGTGGCGTCCAAGATGGCCCTTTTCACTAGGATTTCTAAAGATTCAGCATCCCTGGAGAGCCCAGTGGGAATTGACTGATCTGTATCCCTTCCCGTCTAAAAAGAATCATCTGGAAACTCACTTCTTCCTGGAAGCAGGTCCTGCTCTATTCCTGAGAGGGGCCACACAGGGGAATTAATACATATTGATTTACGACTGTGAGTCAGACTCAGTCCCAGGAGATTTACATTCTCTCTGGCATTTTCCCAAAAACACAGCAAGGGAGAGTTTTACCGATGAAGGAACTGAAACTTAGAGAGGTTCACTAACTTGCTCGTGGTCATGTGGCTATCAAGGGGCAGAGCCAAGGTTCAACCCAAAGCTCATCTGTACAGGTACTAGAGTGTCAGTGGGTCTGTCTTTCCCCTTGGGTGACCCGTCCTTTGCGAAAGGATGGACACCAGAAGAGAGCCACCAATATCTCCTCGTCATCTCAGATGGGGGCTGCAACTTCTTCTGAAGAGGCTTCCTGGCCCCGTTCCTGTGTTCACAGTGGCTCCCGTGTGCAGGCCAAACCCCTGCCAGAACGGCGGCACCTGCTCCCGGAATAAGCGGAGATCCAAGTTCTCCTGCTCCTGTCCCGACCACTTCCGGGGCAGATTCTGCGAAATAGGTATGAGTCTCTGCCACCACTTCGTCAGAAATTCAGGCCCACAAGTGAGGCCTCTGGAATCCCTTTCCATTTCGGTTTTGTTGCCAGAATGCGGTTCAAGTTAAGTTTCCCAAACTCTACTATTGCCTCAGCCTTCCAACCTAGGGCCGTGGGGTGTGTCTTTCTCCGTGTAAAGAAAGTAATAAACTGAGATACAGAGTAGGCAAAGCAAACCACCGGGGCATCCCTGGGCCTCAACCCACCCTCCGTCGGTTCTTGTGGGAACCAGAATTAAGGAACTAAGCTCCCACCTCCCACAACCACTGTGTTTCATGTTTTTAAGCAGAGTGGAATGTGGAACATTCAAGTACCTTGTGTCTAAAACTTTGTGGTGAAATCTCAGGGGGATAAATATTCAGGCCCAAGCCTAACACCCCTTGATGCGCCCACCCGCCAAGCCCGTGTTGGGAGCAGCATGCCCGCTGCTATCAGTTCTCACGTCCCTGCCTTCTCTCTCTGAGGTCCTGATGACTGCTATGTCGGCGACGGCTCCTCTTACCGAGGGCAAGTGAGTACGACAGTCAACCAGCGCACGTGCCTTCACTGGAACTCCCCCCTCCTCCTGCGGGAGAATTACAACGTGTTTATGGAGAATGCTGAGGCCCATGGCATTGGGGAGCACAACTTCTGCAGGTAAAAATTACCTTCTTCCCTGTGCTCAGTCCTGGTCGCTTGATTTTGAAGCAGATCATTGAAAGTCACCAGCCTTCTTTCTAGGAAGATTTTCCTACACAGGCTAGGTGAGGTGATGCTGCTATAACAAACAATCCCCAAATCTCAATGGCTCAAATACATCAAAGTTTATTTCTTACTAATGCTCCCTGTGTCATATAGGTTGGTGGTGGTGATGGTTGGGGATTCAGCTCCACAGATTCAGAAGGATAAGAAGAAACTGGAAAATAGAGCATCACTTTTTTACTACCTCAACCTAGAAGGGAGACATCATCTCCCCACACATATTTCATTGGTCAGAAATAGTCATGGGGCCCCACGTAACTTCAAGGCAGAAATGTAGAGGAGCAAATGGAATGTCTGTTGGGCATTCCAGTCTCTGCCCCGAGGATGTTCAGGTTTTCCCAAGTAAGGACAATGCCATCATCCTCCCTGGTCATGACTCTAGCTCCCTTCTTCCCCTTCTGCGGCCTGAAGACCCCTCTGCTGTTGTCCTCCTATTGCGGTTTGTCTAACCAAGGCCAGTGACTTGGAAGAGTTGCATATCAGGGGTAGGGTCCTTTGCAATGGCTTTAAACTGGCTCCATAAACAAGAGGACTTCCCTTGCACAAAACACTAGTCACCTTCCACCTACACTCACCGTGAGCTCTTCCCTTCGTGGAGCTGTATTCAGGAAGCCTCTTGGCGACCTCTCTCAGAGGAACCCTATGCTCACCATGTTTCTGCGGCTACTTTACCTCCCTGACAAAGAAGGGTCTTCAACAAGGATCTCGTTTCTTTTCCCACAAACAATTTGATACATCCCATGGATCTGGCGCAAGGCTTGTGAACTATTCCCTAGTCCTTGGGATTCTCCTCTGGAAGTTAAGATTTTGCCAAGAAACTATGACATGACCACCCCTCTATGCCAAGTTTGCTAACCTGTTGGAGGATTCGAAAGGAATGTGGTCCCAGAAGGGGCATAAGAGACTGGCACCCTCTTATACACAGGTCCTTTAAGGAGATCCAGTGGGTTCACTAAGGCTTGGTCCTGAGTTATTTTGTTTTATATTTTAGAAACCCAGATGGAGACCAGAAGCCCTGGTGCTATATTAAAGTTAGCAGTGAAAAGGTGGAATGGGAGTACTGTGAAGTCTTGGCCTGCTCAGCCCAAGGTGAGGCTGTGGCTGTCTGGGGGCCCCTGGGCTGGGGAGGTTGCAGATCCATAGAGTGACACCCTTGGCACCCCATCCCCCCACCCCACCTTCCCCCACACCTGCTTTACCAATTCCCTTCCCAGCACCAGCCCAACTCCCAGCCCTCTGCTCCCCTCAGGATGCTACACAGCCTGGATACCTCTGTAAGCTCAGGCCAGGTGGTCCAGCTGTAAACTCATGTTCCTGACTCCAAGTACGTGAACCCAGCAGATACTTATCCATTGCTTGCTGTGTGCCAGACACTATGCCAGACCCTGGGTGTACAGTGGTGATCAAACATTGGCTGGGCCCCCATGGCCTCTCAGGATGCAACGTGTCCAAATTCCAGCCTCACAGTCTTCCTGCCAGTCTGCCCTGGCCCCCTCTGTGCCCACGTCTGGAACAATGCACCCTCCCACCCTGACCAATGGGATTGCCTCCCTGAACAGTTTCACATGTGTTTCTTTGCTCTTATGGTCGCCTCTGTCATAATGCTCCACCTCATATCTGCTCTTGTCCATATCCAACCATTCTTGGAGAACCAACTCAAGTATCTCCTCCTCCAGGAAGTCCTCCTTGATCTCTCAAGTGAAGTATTATCTCTTCCTCCTTACAAACTCCAAGGAATGGATCAAGGCACTGCCCATAAAACACTTATTGCTCTTTCCTTTGTACCACAATCATCTGTGCAAATGTCTTATCTAACCTATTCTACTTCATCTGGATATCCAACCATCTACACTGAACCCCCCCAATATAGGTCTACTCTAGTGAATAGCTAAGTACATACCCAATGATGGATTTATATACTTACATGCACATCAATATGCGTGTGTACACGTGACAATCCTAGGAATAACACACTTGGAAATAAGAAAAAAAATCTTCCTTGTTAATTCCCTAGACTTGCTTTGTATTAATCAATATATTCAACAAATATCATTTGTGCACCTACTTCGTGCCCACCCTGTGTACACCAGTGCAGTCTTCTCTGCTCCAGCACCTTGCTCATGGCTGGACCCAGAGTCATACCTCTGACTGGGTCCTTCTGAGGGGCCAGAGGGAGGCTGAGTAGAGTGATTTGTCTTTCTGTGTCCCGCAGACATCGCCTACCCAGAGGAAAGCCTGACTGAGCCCTTGGCCAAGCCTCTGGTGTTTGACTCCTGCGGGAGGACCGAGACAGCGGACAGTCCTATCAAGAGGATCTATGGAGGCTTCAAGAGCACAGCGGGCAAGCACCCGTGGCAGGTGTCGATCCAGACCGTCTCCAGGCCCCAGGGCCACTTCTGCGGGGGGTCACTGATACACCCCTGCTGGGTGCTCACTGCCGCCCACTGCACTGAGTAGGTGCCCGCTGGGGGCAGGGGCCAGGGTGACTTGAGAATACAGCGGTGCCCTCTCCTTCCCTGCTGAGCAGCATCTTGGTAGCTCTGGCAGGATTGAGGGGTTGACCTCGCTCCAAGGGCAAAAAAGTGGCCCCTTAAAACCAGACAGAAAACAGCTACCGTGTCTAGAATGCTTACCACGGGCATGCATGCGTCATATGACGTTTGCTCCTCAACTGTCTACTGGAAGACAAGCTAAGGGAGGGCTGGGGTTTTATCTGTTTTATTATTATAAATTGTGGCATCTCCAGTGCCTCGAGCAGGTCTCTTTGTACACGGTAAGTGTACAGTAAATACTTGTGGAGAGAAAGAGTATACTGTTACTCCCTCTTCATAAGTGAGGGCCCTGAGTCTTGGGAAGGTTTAGCAGCTTGCCCGAAGTCACGTGGAAAGCAGGCGGGCAAATGTAAATCCCGGTCTGTCTGCTTCCATAACCTCCTTAATCCTACTCCACTGTCTGCTGCCATCACCACTGAGCCTTCTGGGCAGGTGTCTTCAGTCGGGTCTCCTGTGTGCCGCAGAGAAGCAAGTACCTTCTGGGGAGCTAAAGAGTCACCACCTCCTCCAAGTTCCCTGTGCTCGTGGGCGGGGCTGGTCCCAGGAAGCCCAGATTTCAGAGGTGGCCCTGAAGGTCTTCCAGTCCACCTTGTCATGAATGATTTCCTCTGCGATTCTAGAGAGGTGCCCCCACGACAGACCGAGCAAGCAAACATGAGCACCTACCAAGGGATTTTGGAAGATTTGTCCAAGACGGCAATGGCTGTTCTTTCGCAAGGCCCAGGGAGAACGGGAGGTCTCCCAAAACGTGGGGTAAATGCTACGTTTGGAGCTTGCTTCCATTAATAAAGTAGCTCTCTCATATTATCTGGACCCCACAGCAGGTTCTGTGAGCGAGACAAAGATTACAGATGAGGATGCCAAGCCTACAGAAGGTTGGGGGCTTTGTCAAAGGTCACACAGCCCACCAGGAGCAGGGTGGGGGTTGGCTTCGGTCTCTCACATCCCAGGGCTATTTCCTGACCATCTTATTTTCTTATCTTGCAGAGAAAAAGCTAGATATCTAACAGTGGTGCTGGGAGACCAGGACCTGAAGAAGACAGAATTCCACGAGCAGAGCTTCAGGGTAGAGAAGATATTCAAACATGGCGACTACCATGAAACAGATGAGATTCCCCACAATGATATTGGCAAGTCTCCTCTCTCGTGGATCTCCTGTGGGTCTTGAACCTGAGGTCTGGTTCTGGAAGGTGTTCTTGATCATTTTGGTCCCTTGTAGGTCCTGTAAGGGAGAGAATGTATTCCTGGGCTTTTTAGTGCTTATGAGTGTGTGCTGATGTTGTCGATAAATGGGCACATTGTGCTGTGGAAAGAGCTTGGCTATGAATCCCACCCAGGCCCCTACTTTCTAGCCAGGAGCCAGTCACCTCCCTAAGCCTCAGTTTTCTCTTCTATAAAATGGGGACACGGGTGCACAACTCTCAGCTTCCTGCGGGTTCAGTGATAGGATGCGTGTGCAGACACACCTGGCACCTGGTGAGTGCTCAAGTGCAAAGGCAGAGATGCTCTTAAGCTACTGGCCGCTCAGTTCCATACTCCATTCCTCCCTTCCCGGGACCCCTCCCTCTCTCTCCTTTCCCAATAGCTCTTTTTTTTACTTATGGTCTGTTTTTATAACAAATGGATTAGAAATTATTTCAAACTCAATTATTATTTCTTGATATTACTCTCAGCCTGAAGCGTTACTCCTCCCCAGGTGGAAGTTCCCAAAATGCAATGACTGAAGAAGAGTTTTTCAGGCGGGGGTGGGGAGGGCGATTTGCTATGACCACCTTCCAAAGCAAGTTGAAGCTGATGCTTTTCTTACAAAGAAGCAACATCACACCCATTTCCTCTCTCTCTCCCCACCTAGCTTTGCTCAAGTTAAAGCAAGTGGATGGTCACTGTGCTCTGGAATCCAAATACGTGAAGACCGTTTGTCTGCCGGATGGTCCCTTTCCCTCTGGGACCGAGTGCCACATCTCGGGCTGGGGTGTTACAGAAACAGGTGAGTCCAGCCGTGCACTCTCCCATGACTTAGGCGAACTACATCAACCAGAGGAGAACTTGACATGCTACTCATCTGAACTTGACATGTTATATTCAAAATGCATTATCAAAGGAAAGCATCTGCCTCATCGTTCAAGCTCTAGTTAAATCTCTTCACCTGCCTGCCCTGATCTCCATATCTGTCCCTAGCACCTACCTCTAGATGCTTGAAATTTATCAAGCATTGACCCTGAACCCATGGAGACCTCACTCCTTGCCTAGGCAGATTGGAAAGAGAATATCCTGGAAAGAACATAAATTTTGAAGTCAGACAGACTTGCATTAGATTCTAGGCTTTGTCGCTTGAACAACTGAGTTTTAGTTTCTCAATAATCACCTCCTAGATTTGGAATCACGATCCCGGGAAATGACAGACTTCTACAGAGATGTTCATTAAGTGAGCACCTGGAGGGAGGGGGTCAGGTCTCATCTCTGTCTCTCCCACAGCTCGTCGGTCAGGGATTTCCACATAGTAGATGTTCTATAAAATATTGTTAAATCGAGCTATTGATTTGTCTTTAGGATGTGGTCTTATCCAAAACAGTAACCAAAGGGTTACTTTCCTCATAGTACTGGCAAGATGATATTTTCTACTAGAAAAAAATTCAGAAGGATATTTGAAGTCTTTCCCAAATACTCAACATATATTTCTCTTGCTTCCCAAATCTTGTCTTTAAGAATGGACAGCAAGAATCACTCTAAATAGGTCTACATTCATGAAGAAAGTAAAATGTAATATACAAATTCATCAGAGGCTTTTGGAAAAAGAGATTTCTGGCCAATTTCATTTCGGGTCAGCCAGAAAACTCTCTGTGGCCATCGTGGTCCATCCGAACCTTTCCAACTCTGCTCTGCTCAGTGTGGTCTGGCCAGTGTGCTGATGTCTCTGATGGGAATCTTAAGGGGCCTCAGGTTAGAATTATTTTGTTTTCCAAGAATAGGCCTCTAAGACTTTATGTTCAAAGTCAGTGATGTGTTTTGATTGATTTCATTATCTTTAGAGGGGGGGATGTCTGCTCTAGGAAGCAGATAATTGAGTGCACCAGGGCGCTGATCCGTCCATCCATTCACTCACTAAGAATCTACTCTGTGCCAGCCCTTTTGTGAGTCACAGGAAATTAAAACATGGTTACAATACCTTCTCTGTCCTCCCGAATCTCACGGTCTAGTTGGGGAGACAGAGAAGGGAATAAATGATTCTGGTCTGTCATGGTCAGTGTGGCATTGCAGGTCGGCCCAAGCACGGTGAAGGCTGAAGAGGAGGCGTTTCCACCCGTCTCCTGGAAAAACTCTTTTCCTGAGCTGAGAGCCGGCGGCCTGCTCCTTACTACTGATAGTTTCTGATGAAGTAAGTGCCACCTTGGTCCCCACAGTAATGACTCTTTTCTCTGCCCCGCAGGGGTAGAGTCCCGCCAACTCCTGGATGCCAAAGTCAAGCTGATCACCAACGGTCTGTGCAACTCCCGCCGACTCTACAACCACCTGATCGATGACAGTATGATTTGTGCGGGAAACCTTCAGAAACCCGGGCGAGACACCTGCCAGGTCAGAGACTCCAAATGGTGCTTGCAGAAGGAGAGGCTTACAGGACGTTACACTGGGCACAGAGGCCCCTTATGGCCCTGGGCCGGGAGCTAGTTTCAGAGTCCGCCTGCTATAAAGCTAAGGCACAGGCAGGGCGTATCGGTCCCTGGCACATCTGGATCCACATCAGTCCAGGATGACTCAGCAGCATGACCCTAGGGGTCACTTTGCCTACATTATCTAATGTAACTCTCTCCACATTCTGGTAGAGGGGACGTCATTATCACCATTGTACAGATGCTTGCAGAAGTTATGTTGGCCTAGAGCAACTGGATGGTGAATGGCAAGGCTGGAATTTGAACGAGGGCTGTGGTCTGCCACGTTGCTCCGCCATGTTCAAATATGAAGAAGGTGCTTCTGGCCTCTGTGTTGGGCAACATGTCTGAAAATCACGGTAAACAGGGAACTGTCCAAAAAGCCAGTGATTAGAAGGAAAAAGATACAAGGCCTAGAGATTTCACAATAATATTAACTAACCACTAGGACTTGTGTATATATTGGGGGGTGGGGAGAGAGTGACCTAGCCCTAGCAAACTGGGGGCTGGGGCCTGCCTGACATTCCCCTGGTCTAGGACTTTGGGAAGCCCAAGCTGCTGAGGCCTGTGGCAACTCAGAGACGCTGCTGGAGAAGGAGAAGGCGGCGGCTTCATCAACTGGTGCTAAAGTGACCTCAGGCCCCTGCCCCGAGTCGAAGTCCACTTCCCATCACCCCTGTCTCTGCGGGATCACACCACACAGGACGCATCCTTCCCAGACTCAGTTAGAATTTTCCGCCTATTGTCCTCATAAACCATCCGACTGTCCTAGAAAACCCAACATGTCCACATTCACATCCTGGCTCCCTGATGGAACCGCCCTGAGGAGGGACCCAACAATGATTTGCTGGCCTTGAGCCCACGCCGGGATGGGAAATCGAGGGCTGTCTCTCCAGGGTTTGTGGCTGGCCTGGGACCCCTGTCCCTTCCCAAGGGGCCACAGAAATTCACATGCTCAGAGGAGGGGCATCACCAGATACATGCAATTTTCTGGAAGATGAGTAATAAGAGAGATTGTGCAATTCCCTAGACAAGTCAAGGGTTTCACTTACAGGTTTGGGGAACAGTTGTGGGTTTGAAACCCGGTCCTGTCTCTTACTGTGTGGGCTTTATCAATCACCAAAGTAATTCTCTAACCTCAGATGCCTAATCTATAAAATGGAACATATCCATAAGATCGTAAGGTTATGGATAAGATTAAAAAAGAGAGTTCATTCCTTAAAAAACCTGCTAGTTGTAGTGCCTAAGTAGAAGTGTCTGAGAGCTACCCTCCTCACCATCATCTCCTCCCACTCAGCTGAGGGCTCGCCGGCACTATCTATTCTACGTACTTTACTAACGATCTGCATAAGAACCTCGGTGGAAGGGACATCTAATACTATCCCCAGTTTACAATGTGAGACACTGAGCCCCAAGGCCACATGTCTGGCAAGCAGTAGGGCCTGGTTTGGAGCCCAGAAGGTCCCCATAGACTGTGATGAACAACTAGGTCATGCTGCCTCTGGGTCTCCATCCCCCTCACCTGTGTGTGCCCTGCTGGCCCTGGAAGGGCTTCTTCCAGCAGGGGACCACTCCCTGCTTGGCTGCCCGAAGGAACAAGTCCAGGGCCTCTGAGAACCCACAGTAAATATCGGTATGACTGAGACTCGGGAAGTGCAGCCCTGTGGCTTCTCTGCCAAGCCCTCACAGACTCGGGGATGGAGGACAGCATTAGCTTCTCTCCCTCTAGAGTCTTGTTTCGTGTGACACATGGGAAGGGCCTTGCCACAGCTTTCCAGAGAAGCACCCCCTGGGGAGAGGTGGAGACATCTCCAAGTGTATTCTGGTTCACAAGGCTGAACTTGTGCCTCTGTTTCCCTTAGGGGGACTCCGGAGGCCCCCTGACCTGTGAGAAGGACGGCACCTACTACGTCTATGGCATCGTGAGCTGGGGTCTGGGATGTGGGAAGAAGCCAGGGGTGTACACTCAAGTGACCAAGTTCTTGGATTGGATCAAGGCCACCATCCAAAGGGAGAGTGGCTTCTAAGGTCCTGTCTTCTGAACCTTGGAGCCCATTCTCCTCCCAGCCAGATAAGGGGAAGCCTCCAGGGCAGCCACAGACACCCCTGGGAGCATCCAGGAGGCCACGCAGTGAAGAGTCCATGCACTAAGCAGAGATGACGCGGCCTGGGCCTTCCTGGACCAACATCTGCACCATCTGCCTTCCCGGGTAACCCAAGGAACGATGGAACCCACACAAATACATTATGTCTGCTGCCCTTGAAATAACTGTACCTTCTAGAAAATCAGTGTTCACAGAGACTGCCTCCACCTGGGACATTTGCAAACGCGGACTACAGATTGCCCAGCACCAGTGGGAGTCACCTGTGCACCTTTATTCCCCATCCCAGACACTCGAGGTACTGAACAGAACCAGCCAACCACGTCTCGGTATCCGAGAGAGAACCAAAAACACAACATTCTCCATTTGCTTTCAGAGTTGTTACTTTAATAAAGGCAAATCTGGGTGGGCTCGTGGGCCGTTTTCACAGCTCGCCCAAACCAAAGCCATCTACAGCATGTCTCTGGCGCGCAAACGTCCTCTCCGCTGGCTTCTCTCTCAAAAGAATCAGGGTGGACGCTGCTCACTCACAATGGCAGAGCCCTCTTCCTTTTGACGTGCAGAATCTCCATGGCATCCGGGTTCACCTCCCCCATCTGATGATCTCCAGCCTGCACTGCCTCCGGCCCCCCCTGCAGAAATCAAACAGCCCCCCTGAGTTCAAATGAAGCTCCATCCTGCTCCCACAGGACATGCTAAGACGCCCCGGGAGCATCACACACGCTCATGCCCCCACCTCCCGCTCCCCTCCTCCGCCCTCCCCAGGAGAAAGGATCCTCAAGGCAAGAATGAGAAAGAAACAAAGCCAGTCCCTCATTTAGACGAGGCATCTTTCTCCTGAACAAAGTACGGTTCAAAATGCAGACGGTGGTAGCCAGCGAGTCCCTGACCCTTTCCGAGAATGTAACGAGCAAGCAGTCAGCGCAGCCCAGGCTGCCCTGGCCCGGGATTGATGTCGCCCCGGTAGGTTTGCCTCTGCAGAACTAATAGCTGTGACTTCAGAGAAAACCCTGCAGGAAGTTTAACCCGCGTGTCATCTGCCCGGTCATCTCAGACCCACGAAATTAGGCGCCTTGCTTGAGCTGCATTTCACACTTCTTTAGAGCTAGCTGACCTTTGGCCAAAAATAAACTTTGAAAAGAAACAACAAGTTTGTCTTTCCCCACGGCCCTACAAGCCAGGGTGGGTTGGCAGCTTGCTACTCACGTAAGCCCCCCAGAGACCCAGGCCCCTTGCGTTGGCCAGTTCTGCCGCCCGCCGGGCCATTTCCACTTTGTAGGAGCCAGGAGGGGTCCAGCCAACACCTCTGGTCAGGTTCAAGTCTGATTTGTACTTGACCTTGGGGAAAGGAGGCAAGAGGATCAAGTTAGCAGGGTCCGGGGTGGCTTGACCACAGAGTGGACAGGACTAAAAAGGCAGCCACAAGATGGGGAATACCCTGTTGTCAGTAAAGCCCGAGTGAGGGGAGCAAATCCACCTTCAGCAGGAGCTCCTGGGCATGGAGGACCCCACGTGCTGTGGGCTGGGCCAGCACGTTGCTGTTCCTTGCACTTGTCCCATTCAAGGGATGGGAGCTGCAGTGGGGTGGGGAGGGGACACTTGTTCCTACTGAACTCACTTTGTGGCCTTAGGGAAGCCACTTCCCTTCTCTGGGCTTTAGTTTCTTCCCAGGGAAAGGGCACGGGCTGGGTTAGGTAACTACTGAGATCCCTTGGAAGCCGTGTAGCATAGCCAGCAAGAGCCTGGCTCTCACGTCAAATCAAACAGGGTTCATAGCTCAGGCATGCCTGTATTTGCTGTGTGATCTTGAGTAAGTCACTTAACCTCTCTGAGCCGCAGGTTCCTCATCTGTAAAATGGGGCAGTACTGGGGTTGTTGTATTAGGTGGCACAATGCTTAGAAAGCATTTGGCACAGAGCCCGGCCCACTATACAGATGCAAGAAACGATAGTTATTGTTAGTAGTCCTCTGGCACCAAAATGTTAGGGGTCTTGGATTCTGTCTCAGCCTGGCTCCCCCCAGAAGGGAACATGGTACATGGGACTATGGAAGAGACACCAGGGGAAGGTGGCTTACATCACTCTGCAGCTGGTGAGCCTTCTGCGCATGCTTCAGGCCCAGCTGCTCCGGGTCGCAGCTGGGCTGGGGCAGGGGCTGCCTATAATGCACGTCGCTGGCCAGCTGCTGGCTCCTCTTGGCCTGAAGGAAGCCGGGCTGGTCTGTGCGGCTGTGGAACTGGGACTGATTCTTGGCAAAGTCCTTTTTGTACTCATTGTCACTCTGGAGTCTGCTGACGTTGAAGAAATGCCTCATCCGTGGGTCGTCATGGATGCTGCGGTAGCCAATCTGCAGGCCCCGGTCCCGCAGGAAAGCCTCTTTGTACCGGAACTGCAAGTCAGAGCCGCAAAGGCGCATCACAGGTGTGTCACAGGTGTGTCACAGTGCCCACCTCCCCCGGGCCAGCCTCACTGAGGGGGCCAGACCACGGGATTCTCAGCAGGAGGCTCGAGAGTGGGTGAAGGGCACAAGCTTTGGGTTTAAGCAGACCTAGCTGTGTAGTCTTGGGCTAGTTACTGAGTCTCCCTCTGAGCCTCAGTTTCCCCATCTGATAAAGTGGGAAAATGATCTACCGCACTTCCCCCAGGGGGGCTGAGAGGATTCAACCGGACAGGGGCTGAGCTTCATGTCTGGTGCCAGCCCGTGCCCACTGCGTGGTGGCTATTGGAGTTGCTGCTGCTGTAATTAACACTCCCGCAGGAGGAGAAGCGTGCCCGTTCTCACACAGCCACGCTGCCTTCGGGTCTTTCCAGCTTTCAGAGACCTAGTCCAGGGCCCCTCAAACCATCTGCAGTGAAGGACCACTTTTGGGTTTTTTTGCTTTTTAAATGTACAATGCATTAAAGACCAATATGTGGTCCTACTGCGTGTGACGAGGCTGTAGTGGTACCACGTGCATTTGACAACACCCAAACTGGCCTTCACCCTGCTCAGTGAGATGAGCCCACTGGTCACATACTTGGATGCTGTGACATCTAATTGCTAAAAACATTTCAAAAAATGCCCGCTCGCTCTGATTTCTGTACTTATCACACTGTGAACCAGCAAGAAACCATTCCCAGGTGAGCCCGTATCTAGTGCTGTGGGACACTTGTCTCGTCAATGACGCCCTCTTTTTTGATAATGATAGTTGCCATGTTTTGAACACTGGTTATGTGCCATACACCATCTACCATTTTGTTTTCATTTCCACATCAGTCCTAGAAGACAAGATCCCTATTTCACAGACGTAGAAATTTGAGTTCAGAAAACTGAAGCAACTTGCCCAAGACAAACAGCCAAATTCCTAAGTGACTGAGCCAGGATTTGAACTCAAGTCAATCTAAGGCAAGAGCCCAATCTCTTTCTACTCTATCACACCACACTCCAGCTAAAAGGAGTCCCTCTCTTGCAAATCAACAAACCAATCAATCACATGTTCATTGATTTCTAGGTACTCATCAACTTTTAAGAGTGCCTCTCTTAAAAGAGAGGGAGCAAAAATACAGCCCTCCCTGATCTTAAATTTTTGGCTAAGATCCTAGAAAATAGGACCCATTTTTTGCTTTCATTTAAAATACAGTTCATGATCAGTTTTGGTGCAGGGAGAGAGAGAGAGAGAGAGAGAGAGAGAGAGAGAGAGAGAATCTTAACAGGTCCTGGTGGTTTGCCTTTCAGCAGAACTGGGAAAACCGGAGTAGAACCTATCAGTGATGAAGGGAGAGCGTGCGGCCTTACGTCACTGGCGATCTCCCTGGACGCCCGGGCAGTCTGGAACGGGATGGCATCCAGCCTGAAGTCGTAACTGCCAGCCCGGGTCTGCTCCCAAGAGTTCCTGTAGACTTTCTAGATTGGGAAAACAAAAACACGAGTAAGGGCCGGGCGCGGTGGCTCACGCCTGTAATCCTAGCTCTCTGGGAGGCCGAGGCGGGCAGATTGTTTGAGCTCAGGAGTTTGAAACCAGCCTGAGCAAGAGCAAGACCCCTTCTCTACTAAAAATAGGAAGAAATTAATTGGACAACTAAAAATATATAGAAAAAACTAGCCGGGCATGGTGGCGCATGCCTGTAGTCCCAGCTACTGGGGAGGCTGAGGCAGGAGGATCGCTTGAGCCCAGTAGTTTGAGGTTGCTGTGAGCCAGGCTGACGCCATGGCACTCTAGCCAGGGCAACACAGTGAGACTCTGTCTCAAAAAAAAAAAAAAAACACGAGTAAGCAGGGAGTCACACCACTGTCTTGCGTGCTGCTGGTGCTCAGCAGGAGTGGGTCCTAAGCCTGTGCACCCTTTGCTTTGTTGGTTCCCAGGATGGCAGAGCCCGTCCTGGGGACTCCCCAGCTCTGGGATTGGCGGGCTGGCCACCAAGGGCTTCAGCTCTGAGCCCCCAACCCAACTGCAAGGCCCTGCTCTTGTAGGGCTAGAGGTCAGTGGTTCTGGCTCACTGGCTACTCCCCTGCCCACTCCTTCCTGTCTCTGTATCCACTTTTGGTGCCTCTGATTGGCACCTTCTGGATACCAGAACTCAAACTTCCAGAATCCAGTTTCTTCCCACACGCTGCAAGTGCTGTTCCTTGGGTCTTGGCACCCATGTGTTTATTAGCTCCACTGACTTCCGGGGGTTGCCCCCAGCCTGGCTTTGATGTCGCGTCCCACACCAGCACTCTGAGGCATGCTGCATCTCACACACACCCCTGGTGCCTGCACGAAGCGAAGAGCCTTCACCTGAATTAAATTTATTGTCAGGAACCTGACCGAGTACCTGACCCATGTGTTTCATATCTTCCTCTTTCATTTTTTTCCCTTTTCAAGTTGTTCTCACACGCCCTCTGGGAGTCTGTAATCATATCCTCTTAGTCCTCAGGTAGACCCGCATCACCGATAGAGGCATCAAAATCTTCTGTGCCTTCATGTAGCTAATATTTTTTTCAAGATAAGGGAATGTCTCCATAAAAGGAGTCATCTGGAGCTCCCAGTGGAGGGCCGCGCTTTATTCCGCCACAGAGAAGGGCGACAGCGGGAGAGGCACATCACCAACAGACGACAAAGTGACAGCCCCAGACCGTGTCGGTCGCTCACGCGTTCCGCGAGCTACAGCAGGTCAGGGGGCCCTTAAGAACCTTGCTTTTGTCTCCTGGAAATGGAGGTCAAGGCTGACGCTCTGTTCTACAGGGGACTGGGGGCGCTGAGCAAAGGAGGAGTGGCAGATGAAAGGCAAAGTGCTCCACCCCATCCCACAACTGGGCCTGGAACCAGAGAGGACCACCGAGTGCGTGGGCCAAGCATGGCGGACCTCATCCTTCCCACGCACTGCGGGTCACCGTCACCTCCATCACTGCCTCCAGCCCCAGCACCCAACACCACAAACCAGGCGCCAACGCCTCTGGGTTCTGCCGGAAATACAGAACCATTAATCGCTGGGAGAATCACCTAATTGACACATCACAAACAAGAGCCAAGATGATTAGATTTACTGGGTCACTG